AGATATAGAAAACTTTTTTTTTGAAATTTTTATTTATTATAAAAATTAACAAAACATTTCACAATTAAACAATATAAATATCAATAAAAAAACCGAACAGATTTTCTAGCTTTAATTTCTGCAAAAGTGCAAATTAACTCGTTATAATTTAATGTAGTTGTAACCTCATTTTATATTTAAATTAATGCTAATCCGCTGTCTATTTTGATCCATACTTGATCTTAAATAATATTCCCTTTTCTTTAATTTGGAGAAGCTTTTTTCTCCAGAAGCTACAGAAACGAGTCAGCAATAGTTTTAAGGCCATCACAGCGTTAATGAAAACTCAGAGGGCTTTACTGTATTAGGGGCTAATCTTTGGACTAGAAACTATAAGGAATCATTTAAAATAACCTTTTAGGGATTTTTTTCAGAGGGAAAATTTTTCCCTAGAATCATATAGTATCGGGGGAGGACTCGGCTCTCTCCGAAAAATCCGGGATGACACGGAGTAGACGATTAGCAATGACAACTTGATAACATGGGCACACGTCTCTCTATGGCGAGGTAACTATATTACTCACGGTTTCTGATCTACAATTTTTCAACACCCGTCAGGATCCACACCAAAAAAACACGAGATGGTGGACTACACACTTCAACAGACTTGTGTCATGTTAAACGAGCACAAACAAAGAAGCTCTCTCAGGCTATAATACAGAGTCAGCGAATTTCTCGACTCAGCAATGCCACAGTCAATCAAGCTAGTCCCTCTCTTCTTTGCTAGGGTACGTGAAATGCCAGAGACGGATCCTTCCTTGGGTCCAGTGGGACTTTTACACTAAAATTGGTTGTCCTTTCCTCTATGCGTATCGCGCTTCACGACTTCCCTTTACGTTTCGAAAGAAATAAAACCAGAGGGACGAGAAGTTCTATCTCCGTTCTTCTACTCAAGCTGCTAATAACCTATCCTTCTCGTATTCTGTAAAATGCAAAGATTCGCATTCTCGGTGTCCTGTTACTTGCCCTCTACAACCCCAAACATTTCCAGCGACCAACTTTCTCTCCTACAATCTATCTACATATAACCCGATCTCGCTCATGGTTGAATACTAACCAGATAACTGCTGACCCTAGTTGGAGCTACGAACTTGACGCAAAAATGCACGATTTTAAGATGAGGATTGTCTTTGTCTTACTCGTTGGTTGAAAAAAAAATATTTAAAAGAATTATAAAATGCTACTCTGATTGCGTATAATCTCAGTTAATACGTATTTAAGAAGCAAATTGGTTAATAAAATCTAGACAAAAAAGAGAAACCGAAAATAACTAAAACAAATACCTACATATCTGTATAAATTGACAAAAAGAAAATAAAAAAACCATCAGTAAATTATTATAAATTTTGTAACACCCGAGTATGGACGGTTGCAGTTCCTTGTAACCTGACCTGACACCTTACTCACATTGTTTTATCACGCAGTGAATTGTTATATTAAAATTCACCTGCGGAGGGATTTTTACTGAATCCCCATCTGGAGCGTTATGAGTCCTTATCACTCCCTTCGCAACTGCTTTAGTTTGATAAAAGTCCCCTACTTCTTTTGGACTCTGTTGTTAACTATATTACGATCCCTTCATTTGTTTAGGCTAACACTTGGTGCTAATTGTACTTTATTTATATAACTATGTTCTAATGTATTGATTGACCTTAATGCATTTTACTTTTTGCATTGCATATAGCAGTATGTATACTGAATTACGAAATGTTTCTGTTCAGCCATGATATTTTTGCCAAGACGGTAACGCCTTAGACTAGTGCGCTGCACCATTAAGTCATATGATGACTGTTTTTTACTGTTTTTACAACTCTCCACAATAGTTGGCACTAGACATCATTATGTAATATTATATACAATATATATAACGTTGCATTCAATAGCAATAATCGTTTATTTGCAATATCTGATTCAGTGAAGAACTCAGTTGCTTAAGAAATAACAGCATCACTATTTGCTGCGATCCAGTCTAAAAATGATGATACCCTTGACATGACGTTTGGATCCCCAGCATCGCAACCACCATTGCTTATAAACGAAATTACACCAACCTGTAACAGCAAAGAATAGCAATATTGTTATACCCATATCAAGTAAATTGGTAGTAATTTTCTTAAATGTCCACGCACTCGTTTTGAATAGAAAAAAGGCGGGTAGAATGTATCACAGATATTTATCTCTCATCATCAGTCCACACGCACTGCAATTCCACTCTTTCATATCCTGAGCTAATTTTCGCATTTATCTGAAACTAGAACATCCCACATCCTTAACTATTTGTGAACAGTAATCTAATCTAGGTCTACCTCTACTCCTCTTAACTTCTGTTTCTGCCTCTAATATATATGTCTCTCACTAGACCTTCATGCCTGAGAAGGTGTCCTACCTACCTATCTCGCCTATTTTTTATTGACTTCCATGAATCCTTCGTTCTCCTATTCTTTCTAATACCTCTTCATTTCTAACCTTCTCCATCCACGGTATCCTCATCATTCGCCTGTAACACCACATTTCGAACGCTTCTAACCTTTTCTTTTTCGCCAGGCCCATTGTCCATGTTTCGCACCTATGCAGCGCCGCACTCCAAACATACCTTTAACAACCTTTTTCAAATTTCTAAATTAATCGTTTGCAATCACAGCCGTGACTTCTTTTCATTGAAAGCAACTCGACCCTGCGCTATCCTCCGCTTTATATCCTTACTACTCCCTCTGTCCTAATTTATCTGACTTCCTAGATACCTAAAATCAGCCATTTCTTCTAATCTTTCGTCTCCTACCTTTATATTCTTTCTGTATATAAAAAATTAATCTCTATTACACATTTACAAAAAATGGCAACGAGGTAAGAATGTTATGAAACATATCTTGTCCTTAACCATTACCACTCATCCCAAAGTCTCAATTTCTCAATGGGAGACGCAGTGCTACCAATAATATAGCCTGGAGTATATACACACACAAAAAAATATGATTTAATGATTTTAGACGAATATGTACTTACCAATTTCCCACTGGCAACAAGAGGCCCGCCTGAATCTCCAAAGCAAACCCCTTTTTTGCCCACTCCTCCAGAACAAATGTTTGAGTTTCTAACGAACGAATTGAACGTTTGCTTGCACACGTCGTTTGATATAATATATACATTGACATATCGCAATACGTCAGTGATATCGGTAGCAGACTGAGAAATGTATCCCCATCCACTTACTATCGCCTGAGATCCTACGAAACTGTTTGAAGCATCGGCTCTACTCGGAAGTGTTATCAGTTGAACGTACTCTGGGAATAATGGAATTAAAACACAAAGTAAAATACTAATGAAATTTAAAAGTACAAATAGGGAGAGCAGAACAGATGGAAAAATTGATAAGTGCAAAAGTAATTTATTGCAGAGGCTACATTACGATGACTCAACTTCTTTACGTTTTCTCATATATAACTATTGAATGGAAAGTTAGGCAAAATTTTAATAAATTCTACGAAACTTTGCCTATCGAGTGATTTTATTTTTACTTCAGTAGGTCACTTAATAATTGGACATAATTAATTAAAATTTAAAATAAAGTAAATTAGTAGTAAAGGTAATTACGATTGAGATTGGCTGGTGTTGGAAGATAGACGATGCCTAAATCATTTACTAGTGTTTCGTCACTATAACCTTCATGGAATTTGAATGTGGATGTTAGAATGCGTTGTTGGGTAGATTCTCTGTGACCAATGTTATGTGCTCCTAGTATTACTTCCAATGATATTAGGCCACTAACAATACGAAAAATAAAAAGCAAAATGCAACAAAGTATACCGAATAATTAAGATAAAAATTAACAATGCCTTACTCTTCGTTCAAACAATGTGCAGCTGTTAGCACGTATCTTCTAGTAATAAGAGATCCTCCACAGAAACTTGATGTTCCATCGTAAAGAAGTCTCAAAGCGGCCTAAATAAATAAATATATTGCATTGCACATCAATAGTTTTTCGCAAATTTATTGGCACCGATCTTTCACATCTCCTAAATTTTAACATGGTCCCCTGAAATTTCCCACCTGGAAACTGTTACAATTTAAATTTCCTAAATTTCTGTCTCTCTCAATATTTCACCAGCTCTCCAGAATTTTTTTCCGAAAACAAGCTGATAAATGTCCTTATTAAGGTTAATATTATACTCATGGTGCTAAAGTTTGAAGGTTTTTAAACACGTTTTAAAAAAACTGGCTTTTAAAATAAATTTGTCACATTCGAGAACCGATTTAAAAGCATTCAAATTATTATGCAAAGATTAATTTTTAACTTATTTGATTTACTGTTCATTCTCTAAAACGGGCAGCTGGCACATCTTTTGGACAAAATATTTCCAATTCAGCAAAGAAATCTAGTGTACTTTCTTTAGCATCAAAAACCTAAATTCTTAAGTTATCTGGAAAGATTGATATTGTCTAGAATCATATATGGAAACCGACTCTGATGAAGCTACTCATAACAGTAAAGTTCTTTTCTAAAGGAAGCCATAGAAAAATCAATTCATAAGCTTCTTGAAGACCCTGATGATAAATTTACAAATCGAAATACACGAAAGCTGAATTATCATTATTTGAGGAAACGAATAAAAGAATCGAAAATGGAGATTTGTTATTTGATGCTCTGAAAATTATAAAACCAAGCTCAGTAGCTGGTGAACGAGTATTCAATTTCAGGCAAAATAAGGCCAAAACTTTTCAGACCATTTAGTGAAGCTTTTTAATATCATCATAAAGTCGTCAGTTCTAAGACTGGTTGGACACGCACCTCCACTCCTTCCTATCCTGAGCTAATCTTCGCATTTTACTAAAACTAGAACAACCCATATCCTTAACTATTTGCGAACGGTAATCTAATCTAGGTCTTCCTCTACCCTTCCTAACTCCCGTTTCTGCCTATAATATGTTTCTGACTAGATCTTCATACCTGAGAAAGTGTCCTACCAGCAAATCTACATCGAAAACTTGAGATAACTTCACCAATAGGTATTAAAACTAAAAATATCTGTACTATTATAACCAGAAAATTAAGGAACAATATTAATCATTCTTCTAAGTTGGTGTTGCAAATTCACCTAAACAAAATGTTTCATTTTAAGATGGTAGACATTAATAAACTTCAAGATTATCGAAATTTATTTTGAGGTTTACAGATCGTAATCATCATAATCAATAATAAACATCATCGTGTAATTTTTTTAACGACGCGTTTATAGTATTACAATTAGTAGAGAGTAGCAGTAGATTATTTCAGTGAATCTTTTATGTTTTTTGGAAATCGTTTTTGCTTAGGAGAGGATAAATTAGTGAAAGAAATATAAATATTATTTGAAATTTGAAATTTTTGTGGTAGAATGTATCACAGATATTTATCTCTAATCATCAGTCCACACGCACTGCAATTCCACTCTTTCATATCCTGAGCTAATTTTCGCATTTATCTGAAACTAGAACATCCCACATCCTTAACTNGTTTTTCTTGACAAACATCTGAAAACCAGCTAAAACCGGTTTTATGGAAATTTGGTAAATGAAAACCGTTTTTTTCAAAAGTAGGTTTTTGTATAAATACCACATAATATTAATTAACTATTTTCAAATGCTTACTTGGTATCGTAAGGAGTTTCGTGGAGCTTCATGCCCTCCTACAATCCTTACGTCTTCAGAGGATGTAAGCTGAGCCTGTAAAACACAAACAATTAATTTATAATTAATCTAAGTTTCCAAATTAGTACCACTACTTTACCGTAACTAGAGAAAATGTAATAAAAATTAAGACAATTTCGTTCATTTCTGCTTATGATGAAGATATTGTACAGATCTTGGTAGCACCTCGTTTTATAAGTTAATTTTAAATAGTAATTGTTGATAAAATTATTGTTACGCATTTTGTTCAGCATCGGAATGATGAGTGATATGTTTTCAAATCATTTAGATAAGTATGTTTCTGTAATTGATCTTGCTTTAAACAAATTTCCAAGAAAGCTAAGGAAATTTGCTATAATCAATAAATACACTTAAAACTCCAATCATCCAATTTACAACTCTTAATCTTTCACCATTCATATGATAATTTACACTAAATTTAACATTTCCTAGCGCGAACATTACAACAACAAACTACACATTTTTTTAATTAAATATCTAACTTGCATTTAGTACATCACTCACACAAGTTATCGAGATTCTTCACCAGGTCGCTTTTGTCTTACATGCTTTTTATTATATTTATCATTTTCAACTTTTCGAAATTATATTTTTTTGTGTTCTAAATTGTACGATCACCAGTATTAATAAATTGAATTCATTTGGTCGTTTTTGAAAATATCAATTAGAAATTTGAGAATCATCCATATGGAGTATCACCCCTTAAAAATGTTTTTCCACAAAAGAAACACATATAATTATCAAATCCTTTATTCTGTGGCGGTTAGTACCACAGTCGCCCCTGACAGCATTGTAAATTTTCTGCGAATTTTGTACTTTTTATCACCTGTATCTAATTTGTAATTTCATGTAAATATCTCTATAACGTATATCTTTTTATGCCTAATTTCATATGTTTCTGTTTTTCTAATTTGTTTGTCTCTTCGTGTATACTTTTATCATCCGTATCTAATTCTATTATGTTGATTTCTGGAATCTTCGCTTTCTAACTTTTACTTCCTTTCTACCCTTCTCCACAGTAATCTAAGCTGTTTCTCTTATCTACCCTTCTCAGTAGAGAAGTCCTGTCCGAATCTATCCTAATTGTGCACCCTCTCCGTAGGTGCTATAGAAAGTGACTCTTTCCTATATTCTGTCTATTTAAACATTTTTACGCCTATTACCTTAGTCACGGTCATCTCCTTCATCCACTTTCCTTTTTCTCTACTCACATTCCTACAACTTTATAAAAACCTATCAAACCAAAAAGACGGACTCAAACGTGATATCGGTTCTTTCCCACCGGCATTCATTCACCATTAACTTTCAACTCTCTCCGTATTTTCTTTCTATTTTGCCACATATTTTTGTTTATAAAGTTTTCCATAATTTTACTGTACATAGTAAATAACGATTACACACTATACGCATTTAATATTTTATTGTGTCATATCAAAGTACCTACGTAATTTCTGAATGGCCAAACTTCAATACATCATAAAAGTATTCCAATTTATAATATATCTATGACTTTTATCTGAAATCAGTTAATCCAGTTAGCACTGATCGTAAGTAGACCATGTAATTATTCAACATTTGCAAAATCATAAAACTTATTGTTAGTAATAACAAGTCTAGTGTTAGTAACAACAATGGAAGATAAAAGACCTCAGCTACCACCGGTGGAAATTTCTCAACAATGACATTTAAATCACGGAAGCAGAGATTCAAACATCACCCTGCATATTTTCTACTCTACTCACTTGTCTCGATCCTATTGCACTCTTTAACTCTTTAATTGTAAGTAGAAAAGACACTTTATATGATAACATGTCTGGTTTTAACCCCTAACCACCTTGCTAGTCAATTTCTGGCACGTTGTAATCGCCAAATTTACACTTCATATTAATTTTTCTTTACAGATTTTAACGTAGTAGGTAAGTCAAAATTGAATTTCAACCAATTTATTTATATTTTATTCCAAGTTGTGACGTATCGTCGTTGTTGTTGTTATCTTACAATCAGTTTTCCTTTTTATTTATTCAATTATTTAATTAACAATATGTTCAAATTAACTGAAAGAAAAATGTATGAACTTTTTAAGATTAAGAACTTTTCTTAAATTTCTTAATGCTTGTCCAACTGGAACATCAGGTTCGAAAAACAAAATTGATTTCTTCTATCAGTATTTAAGATAACTTCTTCTTGAACAATTTTTAACTTGAAAGTCTTGTCCTCTCTGAATAACATAGGCAAGAATTCGGTAGATCTAAACCAACGGAAAAAAACGAATTTTAAAAACCAAGTAAACTAGGGTAATGCTGTTGTTCAAAAAGCTCCAGTATGACACATGAGCCCCGGCTTTAATTGTCAATGAAAATGTTTTACCATGCCTTTGGAGGCCGAGTGATATCCCTCGACATCGCCATGCGTCATTCAACTGCCTAAATAGGTTAGATTCAAACTGTTTTCCTTTATCAGACACTTTTTTCGTTATAGGGTAGGTCTCCAACCAGCGCGTGAATCTTTCGTCAATTATAATAACGTAATACTTTTGTATTGGTCAATTTTTTCCAATTTTAGAAGCTGAGAGCGCTTCAAAGAAATATCAAAATTGCCTACTGGAGAATAGTTGTACGAACTTTCAATACGAGGTCTATTCAAAAAGTATTGCGAATTTTCAAATTTCGCGGGTTTACACATGTTGAATGTTCAGTTTATTTTTGACAGCTGCTTTGCTTGCACGTCGATTTTTGCCTATTCTAAAAAATGAATCAAAGAATTTGTATCAAATTTTATGTGAAAAGCAAAATTAGGTGCGTGGACGCATTCCAAATGTTGACCATGATATACGGTGAAGTTAGGTTGGGTCAAAGTAACGTTTGTCGGTGGTGCAAAATGTTCTTAGAGGGCCGAGATGATGTGAACGACGAAGAGCGTGCCGGACGCCCAAGTACGTCAACAACAGACGAAAACATTGATGAAGTGAAGAAAATAGTATTAGCCAATCGTCGAATCGCCGTTAGAGAAGTTGCTGAGGTCCTAAACTTATCGATTGGCTCCTGTCATTCTGTTTTTACCAACGAATAAGGCATGAGACGGGTCGCCGCCTAATTCTTACCAAAATTGCTCAATTTCGACTAAAACCAGCATTGCATCAACATCATCAATAAGGAGCTGTTGGACTCATTTTTTCCGATAGTTGGATTTTAGCTGTTTGTAGTACTGATTGCGAAGAGCGTCTGCAACAAAATCGAACATGCCTTTCTGTTAGGTACCTACATCCTAAGGAATTTGGGCGTTTCTCCAACCTCTAACGAGCGAATCGTGCTCTCAGTAATCTATTACAATCTAGGATGAGGCTTGCTGACCATCCTATGACTTCAAACGGATACGGTAGATTGGAGACAACCAGAATTCATGTCATTTTTTCCGAAAGTTAGATTTTATTCTTTTTGATCAAAGCAACACTGGGGTTTAAATTTATTTTATTTAAAAAACAACAGTCAACGTTTCTCCCAAGTTGTTGGACTTTTTCAAGGCTAGTTTTATTTAGTCAAAAATGTAATACGGATGGAATTATACTCTGAGACGGTGTTTAACGCCAATTGAAGATGGTGATATGAAGGAAACATTCATCTTTGAATAATCTGTGTAAAAGCGGTGTATGATGGTGTAATCGGTACGATTCTGCGGACCTACAGAATAGCCAATGTTGCCTCTTCTAAGTTTAAAGGTCAGGAGAGGGAGTGAAATACAAAAAAAAACAATAGGCTTAAGGAGTTGTCCTGGAAACCTCCATATTTAATATTCATCCACTCTATATGCATCATATTTGAGCCGGAAGGTATGATAAGTTTAATCTTCCACAGACTGGTGAGCTTACCGATGCATCTCACTGTATCGGGGTGGACATGGAGATTTTGGGAATCAGAATGGTTCAGTCTTCACACAGCCACTATAGAATTGGCATGTAGTGGAACAAGGTGTCATTAAGGAGCGGCGCAAGATGTTCCTAAGATGTTGTTGTTCTTCCACCAGTAGCTCTAAATTTTATCTGTTCCTGGTGCGGTGAGGTAACGTTTACTTTTCACAACATATATACGAGGGTGGATTGATAAGTTTCCGGCCTGACCAAGAAAAACAAGGTTTTTAAAAATTTTTTTTTTTTATTTCTCAACATAATCTCCTCCANATTAACTCGTTATAATTTAATGTAGTTGTAACCTCATTTTATATTTAAATTAATGCTAATCCGCTGTCTATTTTGATCCATACTTGATCTTAAATAATATTCCCTTTTCTTTAATTTGGAGAAGCTTTTTTCTCCAGAAGCTACAGAAACGAGTCAGCAATAGTTTTAAGGCCATCACAGCGTTAATGAAAACTCAGAGGGCTTTACTGTATTAGGGGCTAATCTTTGGACTAGAAACTATAAGGAATCATTTAAAATAACCTTTTAGGGATTTTTTTCAGAGGGAAAATTTTTCCCTAGAATCATATAGTATCGGGGGAGGACTCGGCTCTCTCCGAGAAATCCGGGATGACACGGAGTAGACGATTAGCAATGACAACTTGATAACATGGGCACACGTCTCTCTATGGCGAGGTAACTATATTACTCACGGTTTCTGATCTACAATTTTTCAACACCCGTCAGGATCCACACCAAAAAAACACGAGATGGTGGACTACACACTTCAACAGACTTGTGTCATGTTAAACGAGCACAAACAAAGAAGCTCTCTCAGGCTATAATACAGAGTCAGCGAATTTCTCGACTCAGCAATGCCACAGTCAATCAAGCTAGTCCCTCTCTTCTTTGCTAGGGTACGTGAAATGCCAGAGACGGATCCTTCCTTGGGTCCAGTGGGACTTTTACACTAAAATTGGTTGTCCTTTCCTCTATGCGTATCGCGCTTCACGACTTCCCTTTACGTTTCGAAAGAAATAAAACCAGAGGGACGAGAAGTTCTATCTCCGTTCTTCTACTCAAGCTGCTAATAACCTATCCTTCTCGTATTCTGTAAAATGCAAAGATTCGCATTCTCGGTGTCCTGTTACTTGCCCTCTACAACCCCAAACATTTCCAGCGACCAACTTTCTCTCCTATAACCTATCTACATATAACTCGATCTCGCTCATGGTTGAATACTAACCAGATAACTGCTGACCCTAGTTGGAGCTACGAACTTGACGCAAAAATGCACGATTTTAAGATGAGGATTGTCTTTGTCTTACTCGTTGGTTGAAAAAAAAATATTTAAAAGAATTATAAAATGCTACTCTGATTGCGTATAATCTCAGTTAATATTTAAGAAGCAAATTGGTTAATAAAATCTAGACAAAAAAGAGAAACCGAAAATAACTAAAACAAATACCTACATATCTGTATAAATTGACAAAAAGAAAATAAAAAAACCATCAGTAAATTATTATTAATTTTGTAACACCCGGGTATGGACGGTTGCAGTTCCTTGTAAATAAATTGAGTGAGGACCTGACACCTTACTCACATTGTTTGATCACGCAATGAATTATTATATTAAAATTCACTTGCGGAGGGGTTTTTACTGAATCGCCATCTGTAACGTTATAGGTACTTACGATTCTGTTTGCAACTGCTTTAGTTTTGTAAAAGTCCCTTACTTCTTTTGGACTCTATTGTTAACCATGTAACGATACCTTTATTTGTTTAGGGTAACGCTTGAGGCTAATTCTAGTTTATTTATATAATTACATTCTAATATATTGATTGATCTTAATGCATTTTACTTTCTGCATGTAACAGTATGCTCTGTATACTGAATTACGAAATGTTTTTGTTCAACCATATTTTTGCCGGGACGGGAGTGCCTTAGATTAGTGCGGTGCACCATAAAGCCATATGATGGATATATTATTGTTTTTTACAACTCTCCACAATATTTGGCGTTAGATATAAATATATAATATTATATACAATATGTGTAACGTTTCATTCAATAGCAATAATCGTTTATTTGCAATATCTGATTCAGTGAACAACTCAGTTGCTTAAGAAATAACAGCATCACTATTTGCTGCGATCCAGTCTAAAAATGATGTTACCCTTGACAAGACGTTTGGATCCCCAGCATCGCAACCACCATTGCTTATAAACGAAATTACACCAACCTGTAACAGACAACAAAGAATAGCAATATTGTTATACCCATATCAAGTAAATTGGTAGTAATTTTCTTAAATGTCCACTCACTCGTTTTGATTAGAAAAAAAGCGGGTAGAATGTATCACAGATATTCATCTCTCATAATCAGTCCTAAGACTGGTTGGACACGCATTGCAACTCCACTCTTTCATATCCTGAGCTAATTTTTTAAAACTAGAACATCCCACATCTTTAACAATTTGTGAACAGTAATCTAATCTAGGTCTACTTCTACTTCTCTTAATTTCTGTTTCTGCCTCTAATATGTCTCTGACTAGAAATTTATGCCTGAGAAAGTGTCCTACCAACCTATGTCGTCTATTTTTCATTGCCAAATTCTGTTCTCCTTTTGTTTCGAATATCTCCTCATTTCTAACCTTCTTTATCTACACTATGCTCATTATTCGCCCTTAATTCCACATTTCGAACGCATCTAACCTTTTATTTTCCGTCGTGTTCAGCGTCCAGGCTTCGCACCCGTAGAGACATACACCTTTATGAATTATTTTCAAATTTCTAAATTAACCGTTCGCAAGTATAGAAGTGACTTTTTTTTGTGTCTCTACTGNAGGAGATCGGGCTGAAACTATAGCTACAAGCTATCCAAGGATGGTACTATAGAATGTCACCTCAAGGTAGGCCTAGTGGCGTCATCTCTTGGTTAGGCCGGAAACTTATCAATCCACCCTCGTATAATGTTTTCTATATCATTTATCGTTATTTGGGACTTCCATTTTTTCTGTTTAAGACGATGTTGACAGAAGCGTTTGAATGTATCGAATGCTGAAGTATGACTGATTTTCTTAGTGTTCTTTCCAATATTGTTCAACGTCATGGGACTCGGGTGGGTTTTCCGTTACAAAATTCTTAGAATGAAAGAAATTTGAATGAAATTGGTGTAGATTATATCGTTTAATCCAAATTAACGATTTTAAAAAATTAGGTGGCAATACACATTATTTAATCTTTACAATCATTAGTGATGTAATTTTGTATACTTCAAAAGATAATCATTCCAGATGACCCTCAATCACTCAACTCTTTCTTCATATTTGTATATCTGTGAGACACTGTGAGCCTTTATCAATCTTACGAGAAGTGTTTATCAGAAATATGTTTAAAGCAAAACATTAANCATTAGTGATGTAATTTTGTATACTTCAAAAGATAATCATTCCAGATGACCCTCAATCACTCAACTCTTTCTTCATATTTGTATATCTGTGAGACACTGTGAGCCTTTATCAATCTTACGAGAAGTGTTTATCAGAAATATGTTTAAAGCAAAACATTAATTACAGAAAAACATTTTATTTATAAAAGATTTAGAAATTCTCTCAAACCGTTATTCGAGTGATTTATTACTTCAATTTGAGTATTAGCTACCTATACATAATACGAGGGCAGTTCAATTAGTGTTTCAATTTTTTATTTTTCAACATTGCCCCCTTGTAGAAAGATACACCTCTCCCAACATTCATGCCATTTTTTTAACCCCTCCAAAAAATAGGATTTGTCTAACTCTCCAAAATACGCCCCTGTCTCGGTCTCATTTCTTCATGTTAAGAAACAAGAAGAAGTCGCAGGGAGTCAAATCGGGTGAGTACGGGGGGTGCGGCAGTAATTCATAACGCAATTCATGCGCTTTGGCGGCAACAACTCCGTATGAATGTACTGGTGCGTTATCGTGGTGAAAAAGCACCTTCTTTTTCGCCAAATGTGACTGTGTCTCCTTCAGTTTTTTGTCGAAGTGGTCCAAAACTCACTGTAGTATTGTCCAGTGATCGTTCTTCCTTTTTCTAAAAACTCCATGAGGATGACGCCCTTCGCATCCTAAAAAATCGTCATCATGACCTTTCCGGGCGATGGGACCATTTTCGCTTTCTTTGGAGCAGATTCACAGGGAGAAATACATTGTTTTTACTGTTGCTTGGTTTCTGGTGTATATTGATGAATCCAGGTTTCATCAAAGGTGACAACTCGATGCAAAAAGTCCTTCGGATCTAGCTTAAATTACTCCAAACACTGCTTCGAAGTTAACAGTCGCATCCGCTTGTTGTCCACCGTGAGCAATGGCGACACCTAATGGGCCGACAATTTTTTCATCGCCAACTTATCACGTAAAATATTAATAGCTGTTCTGGTCTGCACACTTACGGCCTTTGCTACTTCGTTCAAATTCGTTCGTCGATCAGCGAGAATCATATCGTGGACTTTTCCAATGATTTCCTTGGTAACTACGTCTACCGGACGTCCGGCTCCTCATCAAAAACGGATGTTCTCCTACGCTCAAATTCGTTGAATCAATATCGAACCGTGCTCATAGATGGGGAAGTGTCCTCATAAACAGCATCCAACGTTTCTTTTATCTCCTCGATTTTTTTACCATGAGTGAGTTACCGAACGATACTGCTCTTTTTCCATCTTAGCGAAAATTACGAAACACTTCTCATTCGAATGGCTGCCATATCCAAAATAACCTATCAATCAGTCTGTAATATGTTTTGGCGTCGTTAGATAGATTGCAGCACACGATAATACCACCCTCAGGAACGTTCTGTCTTCAAACAGGGGTACTATTTGAAGCGCCTTCGTATATCAACTGGTCTTTTACTTGATTGGGTTTACACTCACTTGTTGAGGGCTTTCTACGGTATTAAAGTATTAATACCGACTTACTAATTAAAATACTTACAACAAAATTAATATTATTTTGTAATAATTTATAAGAAGTTTATCAATGCTATAACATTGGATTTTTGATTCCAAATAACAATAAAATGACTAGTTTTTCTAGATATTTCTACGTGGCGTTGCTCTTAAACAGTTCGAGAGCAATTTAATTACAACAAGTTGATTGTAATGTTCAATAAGTTTGCTAATCAATTGTCTACGTGTACATAATATATAACATCAGCTTTATCAAAAAAAAAAGTGTGTGGCGTTCTTTTGTTTAAATTCTTAAAGTTCCCATGCTTTATAATTTTTTTCATAACACAAGGATGATAAAGTATTATAAAGTACCATTTACTGTAATATTATCATCAATGAAGTAAGAACATGTGTTTTCAATATACAGAGCTACATTGCAATCAGTCTTATGAGAAGTGTTTATCAGAAATATGTTTAAAGCAACTTTAATTACAAAAAAAAATATATTTTTCTAAAATATTTGGAAATTTATCGTTTATCATAACGATGGGGCCCGAACAAAACACGCAACCAAGATTATTATCAGCAAAAGTACTTTAAAGATTATAAAAGGAGTTTCTGCCAAAATCTACACAGTATCTGTATCATCAGCAGAAATGAAGGAAATTGTTTTAATTTTCACTACATTTTCCTTACTTACGGTAAAGCAGTGATATCAATTTGGTTGTCTAGATCAACTTCGAATTAATTTTTTGTTTTTATAGCCTTACGTAACTAAAATTATAACTGCTCATGAGACATCTCACACAGGACTCAAACAGTTCCCACCCCCTGAAGATATAAGGATCGTAGGAGGGAATGAAGCTGTACCAAACACTTTTCCTTACCAAGTAAGCATTGAAAATATTTGACAATTTGGTGTTTGATCGAAATTTCTGGGTTAATTCGCACTGTGCATAATTTATTTGGGCTTGTTTTTACTGAGAAATACAGAATTATTTTATTGTTTAATTATTATTTTTTCATACCAGATAGCCTACGGGTAATTACATAAACGTTTACAATTATTCAAAATATAATTTTTAAACAAAACATTTGTATGTTTCAATCGCACAAAAAACAGCACTATACAATTAAACAAAATGAAACCTTATATAATTACAAATCCTCCTGTTCATTCTTACTCAACCAAGTACCGACTGCATCTCTAAATCTACCAACTGACCCTAACTTTTTAATTTCATATGGCAACATGTTATATGCCATAATTCCTTTATTAAACACAGTTTTCTGCCCCTTACTGCTTCTAACTTTTTCCAAATGAAAAATATTTGCCTGCCTGGTAACATAATTATGTATATCTGAATTTTTTGTTGCTAATCCTTTGGGGTATTCCGGTACTATTTTATTTTCTACGCTATATATAAACGTTAATATATCCCTTTTTATTTTATTTTCTACTGAGTACAATCCCATTTTCTTCAACATGTTGTTTACATTTTCACATCGTCTTTTGTTAAGAACTTACTCTCATACCTTTGTTAATGTTTTTTTGTAAAGTTGTTTCAGTTTTATTTGTCATCATAAGAACTGCTAAACAGTAACGTAAATGAGTCATTACAATTAATTTAAATAAT